TAATTATTAATAATTATCTTTATTTTTAATGAGTAACATGGCTTTTTTATTTTAATATTTTACCATTATGGCGATAAACCAGTTGTAAAAGTCTAAATAATAAAAATATAAAGTTAAGTGTTATAAGTCAAGGTTGAAAGTGCTAAAACATAAATTTTCATCAAGTAGTACCTGCAATATATGTCAAGAAAATAAAATAGCATACCCAATATAAAATTAAAATTAGAGTTTTATGACAATATCGAATTTATGGTGATGGCTGAATTTTTCCGGGTTTTCCCTACTCGTAAGTCAAATGACATCATCTTTAAGTGGATATCAAATATTTTCTTAAAGTCTAACTTATAAAGAGTTCATAAAATTCTGGAAAAATTTCTCCTCTGGAATGGTGAGAAAACGAGTTTAATTTTTCATACTTTTTTTCTACCAAGTTTCAAGCCCCATATTTCACTTTATTAGTAAATTAAAAATAAAGGTAATATAAAAAAAATGCGCAATTTTAAAATATAAGTCGAGAAAGAAAAAGATGAATTTTTTTTTCGTGTTTCTCGTTTTCTTTTGAATTATACTGTATATGGTTTGTAAATTGTATATTTTAAAATAATAATTCCAGTTTGGTGGCTGGCTTAGACCATAAAAATAAATTTAAAAAGCACACTTATGATTGATGTGGCTTCATATGCGCTCGTGTGACAATGTTCGCTTCTGAGCTAATTTTTTTATGAACGCTCTATTCAAAAAGGTAGGCGTCCAAATATAAAATAAGCACCTAACGAAAATATTCCGGTACCCTCATATGCACCCATACATTCTTCAAAGACGTCAGGTGTTTCTTGGAGCTGGTTTACTTCTTCCTCTTCATGGTCACCCTCAAATGGCACCAGTCGGTTTTGGTTTACCGTTCGGGTTCTTACTTATACGGTAAATTACATCATTGATTTTTTTCTTGATGAGGTACGGACCTTCCCAAGACCTTTGAAGCTTTGGAGAATAGCCCTTTTGTCTTTTTGGGTTATGTATTCAGACTTTATCGCCTTCCTTGAAACATTCTTCTATCGGGGTATCGCTTCTTCATTCTGTCGCTGACGATTTAAAGCTGCATGCCAAAAATCTCTCTATGCCATACGGAAAAATAACAAGAAAGATTGAAAAGTCCTATTATGCAAAATTAAGATAATTATCAAATGAGTCAAACTACTAAATTGCATAATAATATAAAACCGTTTTATTTTGCAAAAAACTGTTTATATTCGTTATTTGAAACTAGCATGACTCCAACTACAAAAATTCGTGTTTCAGCATTTCTTCATTCAAGTCCAAAGATTGTCGCAGAAAATGAAAAGGCGTGCATAAAAGCAGTTCTTAGTACAATAGGTTGAAAGATCACTCAGGAAATAACAAATAAAATAAAACAAAAGTGTGTGCAGTGTGCTTATTCAGTAAATATATAGAAACGTGATGGGTTTTACAGACACGTTTTGGTCGTGACAAATGCGTTATTTAAAAATTGTAATAAAAGACAAACAAGGAAATAATAATTTTTATTAAAAATTGGTTTTTATAGGATTATGTTTATTATTATTAAGAATATTTTAATCGTTTCCAATTATGATAATAACCAAATCAAAAAAAACTCATCTCATGCTACTCTTGGTGTACGTCAACTACAATTATTGGTCATACATTCTGATTAAATTTATAATTAGGTACATAATATTAAATATCCAATTAGTTTTTTTTTATGAAAAGTAATAAGAACGGTAATTGAAAATTGAAGGCATGAAATTCAAAGAATACCATTAATAATTAAAATATTAGATTAAGTTAAAAAAATTTCTTCTCTTTAGAGTGTTTTTCATTGGAGTTTTAAAGATATTTACTTGGTTCCATACTTTATCCCAACCCTGTATAATATTATTATGAATATGTCTAGAATATTTATAGCCTAATACATGAAGTTGTAGTGCCGCCACTACTGTTTAACACCAAACTGATTGTATTGAATTTATTCCCAAAAAACAAATAATGCAATTCCTTCAATCCAACTCAATTTATATCAAGATTTATCGAAGGTATTGAACTCCGTCTAGCGCGAACACGTAGCCATTAACCACCAACGAGTTATAAACCACCTTGGTCGTGACTTGCTTTTTCTGTACTGAGTAATTACGTTCCATCGATGCATCTTGTCCTGTTTCTCTTACCCGCAAATCTTTCAGTTCCCAAGCCATGGACGATCCGGAAATACAAGAGACCGTCGAAGCCATCCTGGGTCCGGGCGCTAAAGTGGTCGATTGCGAAAAAACGTCTAGTATAAAGGAGGAAGAGGTGCTGTACATAAACGGGATTCCGGTAACCCTGGAGGGCAGAGATGGTTTGGCTATTAAACAAGCTCTCGTCACCGGTCAAGTACCTCCATGTGACCTACTCAATTCTCTTTTAATTAAAACTGGGATATTGAAGGCGCCTGTGAAGTTGGATACCTCTTTGAGCATCAAGTCGACTACTGTAACAACGGAGGAAGTAAAGGTAGAAAGAAAAGTTTAAAAATAAAAGTTACGTGTCAATGTGCTCTTTTAAATAAAAAACTATTTTAATGTTTTTAGATACATACAGTATGTCTGAAATTCCAGTATCTATGTTGATATCTTGCTTAATATAAGAGATATAAGATTAGTTAAATACGTATTGTTTATAACAGTGACCAAAAATGGGGAGTTAAGGCGGGGGGGGGGGGGGGTCAAAATTAAAAAAAATCATAAATTTTTACTAAAAATCAAGCTCTATAAGAAGATAAAGCTTATTGATTTTAACAAAAATCTGAATAAATTTGGTGGTAAAGGGGGGTTAAAATATAAAAAAAAACTTCAGCTCGAGTACGAAAAATAATATCAACTTGAAAATTTTAGGAAAAATCAATTTTTATATGGGTCTGTTGATTTTGAAAAAATCTGATTAAAAAGAGGGGGTTGAAATTAAAAAAAAAATCCAATCATAAACGAAAAACGATATTAACATGAAATTTTTAGAAAAAATCAATCTCTATAAGAGGATAAAGACTATTGATTCTGAAAAAAATTGATTGAAAATGGGGGTTAGGGGGTTCATCAAACTGTGAAGAGTATAATATAGAATGCCAAGCATTATACAGGGTGTTCAAATAGTGCGTAGTTCTTCAATATTTCAATTTGTGTTATAGAAAAAGTTTCAAATAAAAGTTATATGGATTTGAAAAATACCAATTTTAGAAATATTTTTGGCTCAATTCGTCCTAGTATATTTCAAAGAGACACAAACAAAGCCTGATGCCGTATATTTCCTCCTTTAAAAAAAAAATCGAATTCTCTAATTCTTCCAACCATCTAAAGGTATCCCGAGCAGGCAAAGTGGTAGACGAAAGAAGCAGAGAAATCAAAGAACAAAATTTCTACTCCAGCGCCTTGACGGAAGTGTTCGAGCCGATCAAAGTAATACCAACGTCGGAGCTATTGAACGGCGCGTACCAAAACGTTCAGTACGCGGAAAACCACGCGAAGTACTACGACAACAATGGCTACGAGACTGGCAGCGAAAGAAAGTTCGGATCGTGCTCCAGTGCCTCCAGTTACGAGTCGGAAGAACCACCGCAAGCGTACCAACCCAAGCAGTGTTTGAGCAAGGATTCCGGCCATTTGAGCAGTTCCATGTCGGCTACGAAGGTAGATTTTACGCAGAGCTCTATCGACTCTTTGAGCTCTTTGGACGAGACGGACTATTTGACTGATCAGTTTAAAAAGTGCGCGTTGAACAGAAAGAACGGTTATTATAATGGGTATAGTGATAATATTCTGGTAAGTGAAATTATTTTTAACTACTAACCTAAATGGGAAATTTGTATTTAAATTATCCAACGCCAGAAAATGTAAATTTGGTACGTTAGTACCGGGCACTATAAAAACATTCTTTAATACCAAAATTCTGAATTAAAACCTTATTTTATTGAAATTTTGCAAAATCGTAATTCAAGCCCTTTGTACCTGACTTTAAACTTATTATATCATAGTTATAAATATTGAGAATATTCAGTTGACTGAATGTTGTTATTAGTGACAGTACCACACTTGTATTATCGTTGTGGTACATGAATACCATAATTGCAAAACAAATTTCTCTCAATACAAACCAATATCCATCAGTTGTAATTATTGTTATGGTTGTCATCATACTTATTATATTTTTTATAAATATAATTTAATGGTAGGCTTGAATATCGATATTCATGATCACAATATTTGTAGAATACACAACTCAAGCTTAGCACTCGTTTAGTTTTTAAAGAATGTTCGATAATAATCGTACCACTTAGTTTATTACCATTGAAAATATTTTAAAACTTTTAAAGGACCAGTCATAGATCCTCAAATCCTTTTATAATGCGTCCAAGTGTATGTAGCAAAAATCAGTTCTTGACACATATCGAACATATATTAACAACAGAGCTTCATTGCCGGGTAATGTAGACTCGTCTAACTGGAGAAAGAATCTGTTGGTGTGTAACAAATTGCATAAAATGTTTTCCACGTCTCGATCTATCTCATCTATTTGTTTCTAAACGGTGTTCATAATAAATAAAAGATAAAAACATATTTCCACCGAAGATAAATATCATTTAATGAACGAATAATACACATTTGGTTAAGGCACGTTTTTAGGTTTCTATGAGTGCAGAATGAGGCGTTGAGCTGAGTTCTGCGGCAAACTTGTATCGTTAATATCAATATAAAAACTCTTAGTACAAAATTCTGCAAAGGATATTTTCATTACATTTCTGATCCTATTATTTTTTTTTTTTTTTAATTTCTAGGTGACAATATAATATATATTATGTTCGGTATAATACTTTGTTTTCGCTATACAACAGTTTTTTTTTGACAAGACTATACTCAAAATAATGCCTTTCGCTTGCCAAATGATACTTGCTCACTTCCAAATATCTAATAATATTTGTTTGTTATTTTTAGCCTACAATATTTGGTACGGTAGCGTCGGACCTCACACCTAAAGACTGTTCAAATCGAAGGGTAAGTTTTATGTTTATTATTAAAATTTGAGATAAATTGTAATACTGAAAGTGTTTATACCATAAATCAAAAGTTAAAACACGTTTTTTGATAATGATCGCATTTTTGGAATGTTTTATGCAAATGCGTTTTAATATAATGTCATATTTAAAAGTCACAGTGTGCTGGAATTTAAAATTATTTCATCAAATGAACAGTTAATTTATTGTTGAACAATAGTGATACAATATACGATAATATATTGCAGTGTTTAGACAAATTATGGTTAAAAATGTAATTTAATTTGGAACAGCCAACGAATTTTTAATCCAACTAGACTTAATTATGAATATGATTAGTTCATTTGTAAATAAATACTTAAAATTTTAGTTGGGTATATACTCGTAAATTAAATTGCATTATGTGTGTATATTATTTTAAATTTTGAGTATAGTAACAATAATTATTTATAGTAAAAGGAACTTCACAACAAACGTATTACTTTTACTTGTAAAACAATTAACCATTATTTTTGAATCTTTATTAAAATAATATTTTGCAATGAATAACATTTTTACATCCACTATCCACTATTTTTAGCCTTGGTTGAAAAAAGTAAATAAGTTATTGAATAAAGAGCAAACATTCAAAATTATGTAAGATAACTAAACAAGTTATTTCCTAGACTTTGCTCGTTTATATTCAATAACTATATATGTTTATATAACTAGTATTATGAGTTTTAATAAGTGAAAGAGTAAAACAATGTTATAATATTTTTTTAACTATCAAATAATGCATCAAAACACTTTATTTTAGCTTTTTACTAGACACGTTCTTCGAAAAACTTAAGTCGGAATATTTGGGGGAGGTACTTTATGGGTGGCCGTTTTTATATTTTATGGAATATATCTGTTATTTATGTTTGGAGAAGAAAATTGTTCAAATAAAAGTTACTTTTAATTTTATTATCTATAATTTTTGTTTTATGTCAAATTTTCCTGAAATGGTCCATATTCGAGAAATTTGATAAAATGTGCAAAATTCTGATTTTTAAGATATCAATTTCTATAATTTTTGTTTTTACATGATTTTTCTAAAATGGACCGTAATGGAAAAATTGGAGGAAAAGGCTAAATTTAAATTTTTTAGTATTTTCGTTTTCAATAAATATCTATAGAAAAATGTATGTGGAAAATGTATATATTTAGTTTATCCTCTAAACATTTATAGAGGTGCTGCAATAGGTTGTACAAAATAACCGGAAAAAGCCTATAATAATTAGATAGGAAAGTCATGTGTTGGACACATCAGATTTTTATTTCTGACGAAGTACCGGGTGTTCAAATAGGAAAGGGCGCTGGTGCAGGATACAGCATCACTGGATATCTCAGAAGCTTTGAAAAAAAATTTGAAATCTAAAAATGATCAAGTGGAATCGTTGAAAATTATTTTCAAGTCTCTAACTTCGCCACTAGATAGCGTAATGCTTATGACCAATAAAAAGCAGATAGTGAGTAGTGAAAATTAAGTAAAATTACGTTTTTTATAATTTTTTTTTAAACAAAATTATTAATCATTGACTATGAGACCGTTCATTGGCTGTCATCAACCTGAATGATCAGTAGGGTATCTTTGGATCCCACACTATTATATCGTTCAAAAGCATTTTTTTTAGCTTTCCAATGATGTATAAGTAGAATATTGCTATTTTTAGAAACTTTTAGCATTTTAGCATATTATGTTTCGTTCATGAAATATAACCATTGCAAGTTTTAAACTTGTCACCCTTTGAAAATATGTTTTAAATAAATTTTAATTACTACACACTGATGTACATTTTTTCCTCAACTTGGAATCGTTATTAAATTAATAAATCACCTAACTCTATTGGAGATTTATTAAAGTTTACTGATCTGTAGCTTACATTTATTACATTTATAGATCGTTTGTGATTTAGGGTGTTAATAAAAACCACTAATTTTTGTGTAGTTATTAATTAGTTTCTGGTGAGTTTCAAATACCATCAGATTCCGGCTAATATTTCCTGCTAATTTTCTTTTTTGCGAAATACATTTTTTGTGCAAAATGCACGGTCGTTACACCAGAATAATAACCACCTAATAAATTGGTCGGTTACGTCCAAATTACTTTGTTACACAAATCCAAGCGATTTCAAATTCCAGTTACCTTGTGTTTGCTAATTACTTTTAGTATTACAATAACCTTTTTTTTAAATTTAGAGAGTAGTTTGTTATTTCATAGTCGTACCCAAGAAATTATTTAAGTGAATAGAAGTTTTTATTATTGTAAAAAAAAAATTACTACAAAAATTAAAGGGGACCGGATAAATCTAAAAGCAGCATTAAAAGTGAAAAATATAACAATTTATTCCTGAAAACTTCTCCTAACTTATTCCAAATTGGTGTTTCTTCGTTTTTTCAAATCTCCAAAAAATCTTAATTGAACAGGATTTTTTTTTTAGAAACAGGAAAGCAATTTATGTTTTGTTGTACATATTTCATGAACTTTAACAGTGTTCCTCGTATCATATAAGTTACCCTGCAACTCTTGAAAAAAGAGTTTTAGCAAACTGATGTAAGATCTTTCCTAATGTTATAATAAACTTAGAAAGTAAGAGTTTTCATAAACATTTAAAGGGGCAAATCCCAGTATAACATTAATGGATGGCTAGCGAAGGTTTGCTAAAACTCTATTAATAATAATAATATTAATCCATGGGTTTAAACATACTTTCATTGCTTTTTCAGTAAGACAGATTAAATTTCTTTGAAAGTATAATAAGTCTGCATTTTCGCTGCCTCGAAATCTTTTATATCCTCATTCCAGGTGGCCAGAATCTAATTATCCACAAGTGGTTTTAACACTAATGTTGAATTTGCAGTAATTCACTTTAATGCTATTTGATGTCTAAATATAAGGCAATGCTCTTCACTTTAATTTCTTTCCTTGTTCTTATTTTCTACTTCAAGTATTGTCGAATGAACATTGTTTTAAATTCGTTTTTTTTAACCGTTAATGTTTTTTGTCAGTATACAAAATCTAATAGCAGTTTGTAGACTTTTATATTTTAATTCCAAATCTTTATTTTAATATCAAAAAGTTTTATTCACTTAAAATTACTGTACACAAGATCATCGTTGCTAATATTTTACAAGCTTGTTAGGGAGCTCGTTCGTAAAAGATTGGCAAGAAGTTTGATAACATCCTGTATATAATAAAATAGTACAAATTTAACAGTAGTAGATTCAGCATTTTCACTTATTTAATAATGTTTGTTAACATCAAATACAATTTTTTTTGGGTACGACTTTGGTATGTCTAATGAATAGCACTAACTGTTAACAATTCACACTTCAGAGCTTGCCACAAACACCACAAACGAAGAATTTTTCCAATATTTTTAACGGTGAAGCCAGCCAGGAAGGTTCGGCGGATTCTACTCTGCAACAAGATAACGTAAGATTTATATTTATTTATTTATTGGATTTATATAATATATACAATTTTTGGTTAGTAAATAGTTATTTACGCTTATAGGGGTAATTAGGTGTTTTATCCATATTATTTATCGAAATGTGTACAATATTTTACCGTCCGACGATGTGTATTACTTGATACAGGGTCACACACCGAAAACTTTCCACACTAAATATCATACTTCCAGTAAATAATGTGATAATAGAGGCCATTTTCTTTCTTTTCATGACATTCTAAGGTATTCCACAACCTGAAATGTCATAATTAGTCGATTGGTTGGAAAATAATAAAAATTATGACATTTCAGGTCATGGAATATCTTTGAATGTCATGAAAAGAAAGAAAATGGCCTCTAAAAGTTTGTGCGATTTTTCCTTTAGAAGTTAGGTTTTCAATTTTTCGAGGCGAAATCTTATTTCCGAATAAAAAATATATTTTCCAAATGGTCGACTAATTATGACATTTCAGGTCGTGGAATACCTTAGAATGTCATGAAAAGAAAGAAAATGGCATCTAAAAGTTTGTGCGATTTTTCCTTTAGAAGTTAGATTTTCAATTTTTCGAAGCGAGATCTTCTTTCCGAAAAAAATAATTCTAACTTCTAAAGAAAAAATCGCACAAACTTTTAGAAGCCATTTTCTTTCTTTTCATGACATTCTAAGGTATTCCACGACCTGAAATGTCATAATTAGTCGACCGTTTGAAAAATATTTTGTTTTTCGGATCAATATTATGCAAACTTTTAAATTTTCTTGTACGAGTATACAATACAAACATCTAAAGTTTTATTTTTATCTCCCTGTGTTCTTATTTCCTCATAAAGTTTGTTCTGGTAACAAAGAGTTTCCTATTTGTTATTCCATTCAAACAATGTGTTTTTCCGACTCTCTTATATAGAAACGAGACCTGAAAGAAATGAGATGTACATGATATATTCATCTTTATTATTTATGTACACCTATTTTGGCCAGCCAACTGGTTTTCGAAAGTATGGCAATCTAGAATTTCTGAATAATTACATGGTGGTCCAATAGAAAAAAAAAATTTAAATTGATTATAATAATTAGATAAACCTTGTTTGCGTGCCCATAATATAAATTAAAATATCTAAATATAATAATGTCTTCTCTAAAAAAACCAACTTCCTAAAAGACAGTCGATAAACCAAAACTAATAAATGTGACCCAATACGTATACCGACGATATTTGTAATAATAAATATCACGTGTCTCACAACGCTTATTATGTAATAAAATATACTTACACGTAATGTTTGGGTAAAGGAACAAGCAATAATTTTACAATTTATTTGCCAAGTTTCCGACATTATAACGAATTTATTGGCATTGAGTGTTCGGAAATTGTGTAGTCGTCAAAAGCGATATGTATCGTTTTATTATTTAATATCACTTCATATTTTGTCGCTTTTGATTGCCGCGATAAACATATCTGCTAGACTAAATGTTATTTTGGACAATACAAGACAAAATTAACCGGTGTGAACTTAGCGACTAATTTTCCGAAAATTGCCAAACTGTCAGAGGCGTCGTAATTATTTTAGGAGGCATTCAAAAACTTGGATGCATTTACCACTAAGATTTGCAAATAAAATAATTAATTTAACAATATACCACTTTATTATTTTAAACTTGGTAGGATACAAAAGAGAAAATAGTCGCAATCAAATATATATGCATAGAGGTTAGTAATTTTTTACACGTTACATAAATTTAGATTTAAAAACCTTAATCAAAATTAAACTACGGACTATTTTGTTATACACTTTTTTTAATATTTTACTCTATTCTGATTTCCCATTTTGCCCTCATAGAACAGCATATTATGTTACCAAATAGACGAAAATGGTCAATAACAATACTATTCCTTGTGCATTATCTGCGAAGTTTCGAAACAAAACATCCGCCATCCGTCTAACTTCCTTCAAACCTTTTAACTCACCCTTGTTTAGCGAATCGGAAACTTCATGTTTTCGAAGCCCTTTTGAAGGTGTTAATGGAGCATATTATATAGAAAAATTTATTTCAACCATGATGGATAGACTTACATAAATTTTAGTTTAGAATTAATAGACGTTTATAGTTCAAAATTTATAGGAGCTATTTGTGTAATATTAGAATAACTATTTATAAAACCAATTACCAAATGCCTTATTTTATGTAACGACTTGTTTCCTCTCGTGAAGGGGGAGGGGTGGCAGGGTACTGAAGTTATTTTTTTCACGGTTACCGTTTAACTGAACAGTGTTGCAGTGTCGATTAGATATCCGAACTGGACCGGATAAATAATAAATAGAATTATTACGCCATCTGTTGAACAAAATAACTATTAAATAAGGAATGCTGCTCCATCTATTGAACAAAAGGATTTTTAAATATGACACAAGAAAAAAGGTGCGGAATCCCCCCATTCTAAAAACAACTAGATATTTTTTATTTCCTTTTAAATATTTTTATAATAAATATTTTTGAAAGTTTACAAAAAATTCAAGGTTTATCTACCCTAACTTTTATTATTGTTGGAATTTCCCGAAAATTTTACATAAATTAGACTCAGAACCTCAGAAAGAATTATAAATTGTCAAAGTGTTCGGTTTGGACCGTTTGGAAAATATTTTTTTTTTTACGAAAAGAAGATCTCACCTCGAAAAATTGAAAGTCTAACTTCTAAAGGAAAATTCGCACAATCTTTTAGAGGCTTTTTTCTTTCTTTTCGTGACATTCTAAGATATTCCACGACCTGAAATGTCATAATTAGTCGACCGTTTGGAAAATAATTTTTTTTTCGGAAAGAAGATCTCGCCTCGAAAAATTGAAAGTCTAACTTTTAAAGGAAAAATCGCACAAACTTTTAGAGGACATTTTCTTTCTTTTCAAAACCTCAAAAGGGATTATAAATTGTCAAGTGGTTCGGTTTGCTTTTAATATCGGTTTAAAGTTTTAGGAATAAAATATTTTTTAAGAATCTAAAAAAATACTTTACTAGATTGTAATCTTGTGTAATATTCTTTAAAATCCAACATGAAACGTAAATTTGTTTAATTAATTTAAAATCCTTTAACAGGCTTTAGTTTACCGAGACGGAAATTTGATCTCCGGACCTTTGGAAGCGTTAATCCAGCACATGGTACCGACAGACCAATATTATCCGGACAGAGCCTATCTCTTCGCTTTCCTCCTGTCTTCGAGGTTGTTTATAAAACCTCACGACCTTTTGGCCAAAGTGCGAACGCTGTGCGAAACGCAACAAGGCCTAGGAGGTAAACCCACCGGAACTTCTGCACAAACACGGTTTGCCGAACATTCGGTTCAGCTGCTAGCCGAGTGGACAGAAACTTTTCCTTATGATTTTAGGTAAGAATTTTTATTATTTATTTTTCTATTTGTAACGTACAATTTTAACAAAAATCATTGGTTCTATTCTGCTTTTTTATATATATAGAATGATTTTCTATGAAACCGAATTGATGAGAAAAAAATTGGTTCTTCTCCTCCATTAAACAATAATTCCTTAAAATAATAATTGTGAACACAATTTTATAATTTTAAAAAAGTGTCTTTATTTATATTTACGTATATTTTCTTATATTTTTTATATTTTACAATATTTTTCTATATTTTCTTATACTTTCTAATATTTTCTTTCATACTTTTTGATATTATTTTCTTATACTTTCTTATATTTTATAATATTTTCTTATACTTTCTAATATTTTCTTTCATATTTTCTGATATTATTTTCTATACTTTCTCATATTTTATTTCATACTTTCTGATATCATTTACTTATATTTTCTCATATTTTATAATATTTTCTTTCATACTTTCTGATATTATTTTCTTATACTTTCTCATACTTTCTCATATTTTATAATATTTTCTTTCATACTTTCTAATATTTTCTTATACTTTCTCATACTTTCTAATATTTTATTTTATTTTATTTTCTAATACTCTCTAATATTTTCTTTTATACTTTCTGATATTACTTTCTTATATTTTCTTATGCTTTCCCATATTTTATAATATTTTCTTTCATACGTTCTGATATTATTTTCTTATACTTTCTCATACAAAAACCTGATTTGTAAATTAAATATTTCTCGTCTAGGGATGAAAGAATGATGGAACATGTCCGAAAAATAACTCAACAATGCTGTGCCATCAACTCCAGTCTTCGAGCCAACGTATCCGCCCTACTCCATAATCTTCATCCCAGATTAACCGCCCTTGAAGCGTACGAAAAGTCCATAGAAAACCAGTGTTCGATTGTCGACGAAAATTTCACCGATGTTTCGGAGATTTGTCCTAACCCCTCCATTTTAGCCCAACAGTTGACTCATGTAGAGTTGGAGAGGTTGTCTTTTATCGGTCCAGAAGAGTTTGTCCAAGCTTTTGCCAAGGAAAATCCTAATTTGGAAACGTCGTTTAAGGATATGAAGAAGACGCACAATTTGGAACAGTACGTCCAATGGTTTAATAGACTGAGTTATTTTGTTGCAACGCAAGTTTGTAAAGTAAGTGTTTCGTACTGTATCTTCAATTGAATTTTGGTTTTTCTTTTCTATTTCCTTTTAATATGTTTATTTATTAACATTCTACAAAATTGACTGCACAAAATGAATTAGAAATTATTTACTTATTACTTATTTATTTACGTTTTTAGTTCTATTTAAAAATACTTTTTTAAATAGTGTTACCGCTAGTATTTATTTATTTGAAAATCACAGACTCACCCTCTATATAAAAATTTTAAAATGATTTAAATTCCAATCTAACGAATTGATATCAACATAACCTGATGATATTATTTTTTATTGCTAATATTTGATTCTTAGTATCAAAAGAAAAAAATGAGAGTACGTGTCGTGGAATATTGGATAGAGACTGGAAGAGAATGCTTCAATATTGGAAATTTTAATAGTCTGATGGCAATTATCGCTGGACTGAATATGTCGCCAATTTCAAGATTAAAAAAGACGGTAAGTGTGTCATTAAACCACTTTGAAATACTACCGAAACATTTAATTTTATTTCCATACTTTTTTACTTGATTTATTCTTTAATAATACTCTTTGATTAACCTCATAAATGCAATTTAAAATATTCTATTCGTGTTCCAATACATAAATCAACACCTGTGATTACCTCATCCTCAGCAGCAGCAACATGTTTCTTGAATTTACCAGTAGCAGCCAACCCTCTCTGTGTAAAGTGTCATGTAAGTGTAACGTTCATTGTCCAACAGAATTTAACCAATTACATATCAGGGGTACAAGCAGAGATAACAGGAGACATTCTAAGGGACACAGAAGGGTATAATATCCGCTGTTGTCATGTCTATTTGATTATTTTTGTTTTGTTTACAAAATTATTTACATATCTTTATACAAGCTAAAATAATTTATGTCATTGAAACTTGACCCAGAAATTTAGAATCATATGTAATAATTTTCAATAAATTCCAAAACCTAGTAATGTTAAGTTGGGTGTGGCAACAGGGCTTAGATCGGCATGGATTTCTACGTTGTTTATTATAAGCGCACAGCACAGCTTACACATTTATTCGTTGATAAAGAAAATTGTATCGCCGTGAAATCTTTTTCCTTATTCCCTCTTGTACCTCTCATCTTTCGTCTCTTCGCCGCGGACCTACAAGTGGAGCTTATTGACCGTCGAATTAATCTTGGCATTGTGAATATTATATGTTATCTGTGGAGTACAAGCAGAGATAACAGGGGATATAACTACAAACAAATATTGAATTAAGGGGACACTGTTGTCTTGTCTATTTTATTATTTTCATTTTGTTAACAAAATTATTTATATATCTTAAGAAAGCTAAAATAATTTAACCTTTATTGCAACTGAACCCAAAAAATTTGAATCAATTATATGAAATTTAAATTAAATGTAATTGTACTAAATAAGAATTCGTTTGTACCAACATTTTGCAAATCTTCTTCAAAATTGTTCTCTATAAATACAAGTTTCGGTCTTTCAATTGATATATTTTTTCTTTTCCATTTATATAAGCAAAGGTAAGGTTTTTGTAAAGATACAAATGGAACAACACACAATTCTTTTGGAATGAAAATTCTTCTTGAGCTGTGATTTGATGTTTTTATTCCATTAATTTAATTCACGCTTTCTCTTAAATTATTAGGAATTCTACTTGATTTTCTTTGAAATCTATTTCAATTAAAATTAAATCACTTGTGGTACTGCAAACTAATTCGCTACTTTATGAATTTAAATCTTTAGGACTAGTTCTCAAGCAAAATAAAACAGAAGCATTTCTGACCATTTGTCAATACAATTTAAAACATATTTTAGAGAAACTTTTAGTGTCCTATGAAATCTTTTGAGATGTATGTGTATTTAGTTCATATTAGGTCAGTTCGGGTTCTTCAAAAATACATTGAGAACTATCAGAAGACTAGTTGATCAGTGGATAGTTTAATAGTTGTATGCGACGAATAATTTGGAATTTAACTGTTCCACTGGTTCTAGGACATATTGAATCGAGTTTTAAAGACATCCAAACAAACCTAATAACACGAAAAGTCTATTATATAAGATTTTTTTTAACAGACCCAACCTCTACATTTGAATAAATTTCTATTCTTACAATTCCCTTTTTTTATTTGTTGCCTACTGAAAGATTTTTTGATTTTAGTGGAGTAAAATTCACTCTGGTAAATTTGCTATTCTGGAACATCAAATGGATCCCACCAGCAATTTCAGCAGTTATAGAAGTACCTTGAAAGCCGCCATGTGGAGAAGCGAGGGCGCTACTGATCAGAGGCAAAGAATTGTGATTCCTTTCTTCAGTTTACTCGTTAAGGATTTATATTTTCTCAACCAAGGGTGTTCAAATAGGTAAGTTTTTTAAGTGTATTTATTATTTTAAAAAATGTCCCGTATTGATATGTTCAAATTTTAAGATCATAAAGTATATTTCTTTTCAAGTAAAAAAAAACTGATTAGATTTTGGGCAGAGTCAAAACATTTGGGGGTCCTTTTTATATTTTATGGAATATATCTGTTATTTACGTTGGGCGAGAAAATTCTTCAAATAAAAGTTATTTCTAATATTATTCTCTATAATTTTTGTCCTATACAAAATTTTCCTAAAATGGTCCGTATTCGAGAAATTTGATAAAATGTAAAAAAAATTCAAATTTTTTGTTATATTATTAGCTAGGAAAATCATCTGTTGGATATATCAGATTTTTATTTATTTCAAAGTTACAGTCCTAAACAGCATTTAATATTTTTTAATTGTCAAATTTGAATAAAAAACTAGCAGTAAACGCCTTATTTTATTAAGTATCTACTTTAACGCCCTGTATCTTCTTTAATATCAAGAATTGAACTAAGTAAATTATGTTATACGAGTATAGCAATAAAAACCGCTCTAAAAATATTTGTTAAAAAAACAGAACGACTAGACTTGCGCATGTTAATTGAAAATTAAATAGAAAAAATTACGAAAATCTAGAATTTATCTCATTCAGTAAAAAAAAATTTTACTTGAGTAATAAAACCTTTGTATTATTATTTTTAAATTGTTTAAATTTGTTAGGTCTTAGTTTAGTTTAATTTAGTTCAAAAATTGTATAAATTATTTAATCTACACCCAGGCATTTTAGTCTTGTAGAAACTGCAAATATTTATTGGTATATTACTAACTGTTATTTGTTTTTCATGTATTTACTTCTGCCAATGAATATTATTATTATTATTATTATATTTTTATAAAATTAATTCTTAGTGTCTGTGTTCCATTATTAACGAACCACCCTGTATATTAGGGATTTCATTACTTTACAGAATCTGTAATGATGCATTTACTTCTAAACAAAACTATACATATTAGAATATCAACTGTGAGTGGTGGTTAATTAACATTTCTGATTTTCTTTACAGGTTACCAAACGGCCATATAAACTTCGACAAATTTTGGCAGTTAGCGAAACAAGTTACAGAATTCATGGCATGGAAGCAAGTAACGTGTCATTCGAAAAGGATCCCAAGATAATAAATCTGTTACAAAACGGCCCCATTCTAAACGAAAACGCTCTGGCTTTGGCCAGTTTCGAATGCGAACCTCCTGACAATAACCAGGAGAAAGAAAGATGCAAAAATCTCAAAGCAGACTCTTCTGCCACTTAAATATAAGGATAAAATAATATAAGAGTAGCTAAATTTATTGGTAATGTGTATATGATTTCTAATTTTGACTGCGGATTTTATAAATCTACTAATTTTGTGTTTTATGCCATTTTACATATTGAAAACGTGTTTAATAACATTTTTAATCATTATAATTTTATTTTTTAGGCGACGGTCTTAAGGCAGAAGAGAGAACAATACAGAAAAGAAACATAAGGCTAGTTTCCTCAGAGTATCTTTATCTAGTCCTATGTTTCTTTTCTGTATTGTTCTCTATTTTGTGATCTTACAGATTTATTAACATCCTTTTTTGATCACATTATAAACACAAGTTTATGGTACTTATCGTTAATAATTCTGTACAAATTTTATTAGTTAACGATGGGTTTTTATTCCATCAATACAAAGAAACAATTTTTGCATTTAAGTCCTTTCAGAAACAAAAATATATTAAATCTGCTTGATAAGAGAGTCGCCTACACCTCGGCTGTATCAACTTTACAGCCTTGGTATACAAATAACTATTATTATACCCTACCAATGAAAATACCTACTTATAATTTTTTTTATAATTAATTTCAATGTACAAATGTTATTGTTGTAAATTTTTTGTTGCTTTATTATTAATTATTATTCGATTATTTTAACTGGTGTACATAATTATGTATATGATTTTCTCATTGATTCAAGACAAATTTTATTTTTTTATCAGAATGTTTAATTTTAATTTTTACTCAGCCTGATTGTGATTTCGTAGCGTTTGAATGTAAATGTAATTAATCGTGATTTTTAAGCACAACTTGTCATGTTCCTTATTCATTAAGTTGTCTCGATTTTTATATTGTATTAAGATGCGTAATTTATTAGTTTATTTTGAACAAAATTAAGTTTATTATGTTCGTTTATTGTAATTATTTCAGATAGAGTTGTTCTGGAAACTATTCTGGTTGAACTTTTTGTATTTCTTATCGAGGAGGCTGAACCATTATTATTTATACAATAGTAATGTGCTCACTATGGTCAAATAAAATAAGTATATTTAATTTAATATTTCGTAAATTGATAACTGTGGACTAAAATTCTGAAACTCTTTGATTTTTAAATTTAATGGTGGTCATATCGATAGTAATTAAACTAGTGAGTCATGTCGCATGCCATATGACCACCAAATTTTACCGTATATTCAATTTTCTGACGCCATCTAATAGAGAACTTTAAAAAAAAAATATTTTAAAGTTTTCATGAATTTCTGAAAAATTTCTCTTCCTATTTTAAAAATTATATCATATGATACATCAATCAACGCGCCTCGTCAAGCTGAATAATTCTTTTCGAGGTCTTTTTGCTTTATCTCCTCTTTTAAGCACAGTTTTTCCTGGAAAAGCGTTCAATCTAAAATTCCCGTCTAACTTTCATAGGAAATGTGTTTGATGCAACTGGATTGTGAGGAAAGTGGAATAGTACACGTATATTTCGGAAAAACGTTAGGATAGTCTGAAAATTCGCTAAACTAAAACATATTTTAATAATGTTCACGAAAAGAAAATTTCAGAAACGTATAAATACGTTGTAGCCGGAAAATTGTCGGAAAACCACTTTACTATAGTTAAATTTCAAATTTTTCTACACCATTCGGTAAGAAGAGTTTGAAAAGGTGTTTACCTTAATTTATTTATAAATATCCGAAAGTGTTCGTGTTTTTTTTTATTTCCTCCCTCTCCCTGTCATAAAAACTTACATGTGATATATCAATCAACGCGCCTTGTCTAGTTGGATAATTCTTCTTTAAGACTTTTTGTTGTAACTCCTCTTTTAAACAAAGTTTTTTAAACGTTTGACCCAAATTTTCTCCTAACAAGTTTTAAGAAACAAAAATAGAAATTTTTCGCGGTTTTTTGATTTCTTTCTCCTCCTGTCATAAAAACCCTGACATGTGATACATCAATCAACGTGCCTCGTCTAGCTGGATAATTATTAAGGACTTTTTTATACAAAGTTTTTCCAAAAAAGCGTTTGACCCAAATTTTCTCCTAACTTTTTTAATTTTCATTCCTTTTGTCATAAACCAGTTTTGATGAAATTTTTATTATATTTTTCTCAGTTCAGCTACCTCGACAATATTAAAAAATTCAATTGCAATGCTTTTCCGAACGAATTGTCCTCTACTCTCTGCTATAAGAATATTTTTAATTAGTTCGAACTTATAGATCTTACTTTTTCCTATCTAGCATTGAATTTATTCAGCCAGAGGCAAATTTGTTGCCAATTATAACATTTAAACTATCATACCAGACAGGAAAATAAGTATGTACTGTATTTTAGTTTATAGTGTTTTAATTTTCAGTGAATATTAAGTTTTACCGTAATAATTTGATAGTTTATGTGTAAAAAAAAAACGTTCTACTATTTTATATTTGCGTAATTATATGTCTAATTAGAAAAATACTTAATTTGTAAAATTTTACAGAAAACGATTTTGTACCTATACCGATTTGTAATAATTTTATACCTCAGTATTTTTTACAAATATTTATAAAAATTAAAGTAATGTACTTAAAACTATTGACCAAGGTAATAACAGTATTTGCGTTAAAAGTACGAAGTATTTATAAAGTCAGGTTTAAAGTGTCACATTTGATACAGGGTGAATCAAAAATCCCATTTCGATAAGACATATGAACTATAAAAATCATGAAAAACTGTGTTTAAAATAAAGTGCCCAATAATTATATTTTTCTTGTTCTCCATCTGTAATATTTTTCGGTTTCTTCTCTTCCTCTTTTATCATAAAAGATTTAGATATATTAAGCACTGTTTGGTCTTTAATCCATTTCTTCGAGCCATGCACTTCTATTATCTCTCCCCCTCTTTATCTGTGGCTGTCTAATGTCTCCTTGGTCTTATTCATTTTCTTTGTCCCGTACTTCCTGCTTCTAACACTTATTTCCTTTGTTATATTAGTCTGTTGGATTTTCATTACATCTCTTTACACCATCTTAGCCCTCTGATTGTATCTTGATTTAATAGTTCTCATTTTTACTCTATTTTAGTTTTCCCTGTATATTTTCTGAATACTTTATTCCCTACTGTCATATTTCTTCTAAATAATAACTTTCATAGATTATTACAGCAAGAACTACTGTATTGTATATTTTCATTTGCTATTTAATTTATTGTTTTTCCATTGTCTGTTAAAAATTAATCTATCTGCATATTAAATAGTTACTATATAGATATGTAACTTTTAATTGCTTTATAAGTGATTTAGTACTACATACTATGAGTAATGACGGTTTTTGAGATTCGCCCTGTACAAAATTTAGCCCACTGCACTTTTTGTTGCGTGCTAGATGCTCGAATGATTATACATATTATTAACAATGATGAGTTGAGTGAGTGTTAAAACAGATGTGATTATATTTTATTTGCATTGTAGTGTAAATTTACTCCATGCTTAATGCTGCGCACTACATTTTAGATATTAAAAAAAATTAAAGACTTAATTTTGTCAGTATTCTAGTCATTAGGTAAGGATTGCGTTGCTACCTACATAATGCACTGTAGCTATTTATATGTAAAAAATATTTGTATTTACATTGTTTTATCAATAAACAATATTAAAATTCTAAATTAATTGTTTTAATTGCTTTGATGATTAAAGAGGTTGTTTCTACAACAAACAGTCAACTGCCTGGATACTGACGGCCCATTACCGCAATTGGAGGGGAAATGTTGAAAGGCCATTATATTTTTATGGTTTATGGGCCATCAATCGTTAATTGATGTTAGCCTTGCGTTAAGGATAGTAGAGAGTTAAAGCAATGCCAGAAAGGTATACGTAAACGTATCTAATGATAGCTAGGCATGCGTAACAGCTATTTTCACACGTCTGACGTAAACCCTAATAAACATTCGTATCGAGCCGAGCCTACCTAAATTGCATTTTATATAGATACATTTAAATAATTTATCAATTAAAACATGCGAGACTTATTTTGAAATAAGTGCTTTATGTGCTTTATTTAGCAATAAACAAGTTTATTGTTATTATTTTACCAAACTTATGTTGAATTCCCATAAGGAGCCATGTATTTTAAACAGCACTACTACCACCAGCGCCCTTGTGGTGAATTAAAAAAGCTCAGTGTTTGTTTTTTGGGACCGTATTTCGAGTATACTGATTTGCCACCTTATCTCTAGTCTTCATAGTTTCGAAAGTCATTTTTAGGTCAAAACTACATTTCTTTATACAACTTTTCGAATAAAAATTTGGTAAAGTACATCAAAAGTTCAACCTACCATAATAATTTGAAATCTATATGAATTCATGCCTATTTACTAGCATTTGAACTTCAATCAATTCTCTTGAAAAGTAACAAATTTGGATTTATCTTGTATTTCCCGAAACCATTGAATTTTTAAAAACTCTATATTGTTGGTAAAACTTATGAATGTTATTTAAAAACATTTATTTAAAATAAATAGTAAGCTCATCTTTTGCTTTTAATTTTTTTTATCTTATTTTTAAAATTTATGAAAACGTTGCCGGCTGTAGAGACATTTTTTATTTCAAAATTCCCGCTCTACCTTTGACAGCAAGTAATTAGCCTGTCAACTGTTTCGATACTTGTCATCTGTCAAAGTCAGTCTTCACAAGAAAAAAATCATAAAATGTGTGGTGGTTCCGTAAAATTGTAATTTTCTATACATTTACTGACTGAAAGTTTGCAGCATATGCAAAATTTGTAACCATATTTATTTTCTTAGCTACCTGTTGTATATATTTTTAGTAAAAAATGGGTAATGTACACGCTTACTCCAGTACACCACCACCCCCGGGAGCAATACCAAGAAAAGATCCATGTGATCCTGCTTCAAAACAGTTAATCGAAAATCCCGGGCCCCTAGAAGAAATTCACACAAAGTGCAAAAGTATGCTGAAAATATAACCTAGAAATCGAATCATTGGCGTATCTTTCTTGTTTTAGATGTATTTCCAACTTGTTTTGAAGGTGCTCGGGTAATGCTTACAAGAGGACTTAGTAACCATTTTCAAATTTCACACACTATTAATATGAGCTCAGTGACGCCGAGCGGATACAGATTTGGTGCTACTTATGTAGGTACAAAACAAATATCACCGTCAGAAGCTTACCCTATATTATTAGGTGATATAGACCCCTCAGGAAATCTCAATGCGACCATTATCCATCAACTATGTCCTAATGTTCAAGCTAAATTTGCAGCACAGGTAAGATAATTTGTTATAATAAAAATGTTCCTTATATGGCAGGATTTTAACTATTTGTCTGATGTAAGAGAAGTCAAATTAATTTTAACTTTCTAACCTAAAATGTAGAATTATTGTTGCTATGATGTTGGAATAGAGATCCAGAGGTTGCAGGTTTGAACCCCATCCAGAGCAGAATGTTTTTCAATTTTTCAAATTTTCTTTGGTTTGTTAACCCACCCTGATTTCTCCCCAATTTTTCTAGTATTTGTTTCTACAATTTAAATTAGTTATTTTGTAGTAGTATTGTTATTATTATAACTAAGCAGGTACCAAATTCTTCTTCTGTGATATGATATAAAATTTGTACCTTGTGAGACCCACATAGTCTTAAGCTCTGGGTCTAAATATACCAAATTGTATTCTTTTTTTATTAATAAACTTGATGGAACTTTAAATATAATCAATTATTTTGCCCATCTCTAATTATATTGCACTTTTAGATACAAAACTCCAAATTTCAAGTGGGTCAGTTGACAACAAATTACAGAGGCCATGACTATACTGCCAGTTGTACAGTAGTAAATCCTGACATAATAAACAGTTCTGGAGTGGTAGTTCTTCATTACCTCCAATCTGTTACAACCAGATTAGCTCTGGGTACAGAACTTGCTTATCAAAAGGGACCTGGCATTCCAGGAGGAGAGATAGCTTTGCTAAGTGCAGCTGCAAAGTAAGTAATAATATCAAAAATTTTAAATTGAGCCTTTGGGAAATAATAGAAGCTTTACTGTGGTTTTATAGGTGGTGGTCCATCATGTATTAAAGAATCATAAATATTTGTGATGTTTTAAAATTGAAATAGACTTGTAAATAAATATTGTTTTTTCTTAGGTATTCAACTGAAAATGTACAAGTGTCAGGCACATTAGGTGTATCAGGTATTCACCTATGTTATTACCAGAAGGCTAGTAAACAATTACAAATTGGAGTTGAATTAGAAGCAAATCACAGAATGCAAGAGGCTTTAGCATCAATTGGTTATCAAGTAGATTTGCCTAAAAGTGAAGTAGTATTTAAAGGTGAGCAAATCTTATAATTTTAAATAAAATGTAATGATTTCTTTTCTTAATTATTTTATTGCTAAATACATTTTTTAGGTCACATTGATTCGAACTGGTCAGTAGGGGCAGTTTTAGAAAAGAAACTGAGCCCATTGCCCTTCACATTAGCTCTTAGTGGATTGATGAATCACAATAAAAACCAATTTAGACTTGGTGTTGGAATATTAATCGGGTAGACATTTTTTTAACATTAGTCTAAAAATTGATTGTTGGACTATTACCAATTAAAGTTTTACGAAATAATTCAAATGCATTTTTTATCAGTCTTTGTTTCATAAGCGCCTCTTCAAAAGAGATTTATTAAATTCAAGTATTGCATTTTTTTAGTTGTTTTGTAGTCCCATTTCTTTTGTAAATTGTTAGACACAACATGCACTGCTATTTTTTTTATATTAAGTGCTAATTTTTTAGATTTGTATATTATTTTTCTGAAAAATGTGTTGAATATGAATTACAAAAGTTTTTGTTACTTTTTTTTTACAGAGATGTAAATTACTAGAAAAAATATATTGTTGAAACTAAATATGGTTTATTAATTATAAATAGTTAATGTCTAATACAGAAATAGAACTTTGGTTCCCATTTTAATTATAGCCAAAACAGAAACCAATACTTTCCTTCAAAGAAATTAATTTCTTATTGTAAATTTCAATGTTTAAGACCACTTTTTTTGTAAATCTTAAAGGGAGAATAATGTGTTTATGGTCTAAGATAAAAATATTGTTGACAAAGTTAACTATAATACACATATTCATATATAAAATACAGACATAAACATTACATAATAAAAATATAGTTTTCATTAAACAGATGTGAAAGGAATTATTAGGGTTAATGTTTGTTAAAATATTCTGCAAGCTAGTCATAGGAAGAATTATTTAGCAATTTGCTAATATATTAAATAATAAAAAAATACATAGTACATAAAAACAGTAGTGATTAAAATATAAGAGTATAAATGAAATATAATTTTGTAATACACTAGTGGAAAAAATTTAGAGATCAAAAAAAATCTTGTGTTTTTGCGATTTTTCGAGTGGCTGTATCTTTTAAACAAAGTTTTTCCAGAAAAACGTTTGACCCAAATTTTCTCCTAACTTTTTTAAATTTTCTTTTAACTTTTTACTTTCGTACAGATATAAGGAAAGTATAGGAATCATGATTTTTTTCGACATCGAGTTTTCGACGGATTTTTACGTTTTGAGGTCCCCTGAATCCGTTTTGACTATTTTCGCGATGATGTCTGTGTGTCGCATAACTCGTGAACCGATACACAGAAAAACACAAAATTTTAAACTTAAGCTTTCTTCCAGCGTCCAATGAGCTGATTGGATTTTGGGCAAAGTCGGAACATCTGGGGGGGTACTTTATGGGTGGTCATTTTTATATTTTATGGAATATATCTGTTATTTACGTTTGGGAAAGAAAATTCTTCAAATAAAAGTTACTTCTTATATTATTGTCTATAATTTTTGTTCTATACAAAATTTTCCTAAAATGGTCCGTATTCGAGAAATTTGACAAGATGTAAAAAAATATTTTTTCTTAAAAATTGTTCAAACAAAAGTTGTTTGTAATATAATTCTCTATAATTTTTATCCTATACATAATTTTTCTAAAATGGACCGTATTCGAGATATTTGATAAAATGTGTAAATTTCGAAATTTGAAGAAAACTCAAAAACGGATAAAGAAAAAAACATTAAAGTTTTATTTCGGCCTGATGTGAAATTATTAGATTTTGGACAAAGTCGGAATATCTGGGGGGGGGGGGGTACTTTATGGAAGGCCGTTTTTATATTTTATGGAATATATCTGTTATTTATGTTTGGAGAAAAAAATTATTTAAATAAAAGTTATTTCTAATATTATTATCTATAATTTTTGTTATATGTCAAAATTTCCTGAAATGGTCCGTATTCGAGAAATTTGACAAAATGTGCAAAATTCTGATTTTTATGAAAATTGTTGAAATAAAAGTTGTTTGCGATATCGATCTCTATAATTTTTGTTTATACATGATTTTTATAAAATGGACCGTAATGGAAAAATTGTAGGAAAAGTGCTAAATTTAAATTTTTCAGTATTTTCATTTTCAATGAATATCTATAGAAAAATGTTTTGAGGTAGATGTATGTGAAAAATGTATATATTTAGTTTATCCTTCTCTAAACATTTATAGAGGTGCTGCAATAGGTTGTACAAAATAACCGGAAAAAGCTTGTAATAACTAGATAGGAAAGTCAGATTTTTTAATTTTCATTCCTTTTGTCATAAACCTGTTTTGATGAAAGAGTACGTTATCGTAAAAAAATTTCATATTTTCTAATTGCATTCTATGGAGAAATTTTAAAAAACGCATTTATTTTAAATTTTTTTAAATGTTATAAAAAATGAAAATTTTTCACGGTTTTTTGATTTCCTTCTCCTCCTGTCATAAAAACCCTAACATGTGATACATCAATCTACGCGCCTCGTCTAGCTGGATCATTCTTCTTACGGGCTTTTTGTTGTATCTCTTCTTTTAAACAAAATTTTCTCAGAAAAGCGTTTGATTAAAATTTTCTCCTAACTTTTTTAATTCTAATTCCTTTCGTCATAAACCTATTCTGATGAAAGAGTAGGTTATCGTAAAAAAATTTCATATTTTCTAATTGCATTCTATGAAAAAATTTTAAAAAACGAATTTATTTTAAATTTTTTTAAGTTATAAAAAATGAAAATTTTTCACGGTTTTTTGATTTCCTTCTCCTCCTGTCATAAAAACCCTAACATGTGATACATGAATCTACGCGCCTCGTCTAGCTGGATCATTCTTCTTACGGGCTTTTTGTTGTATCTCTTCTTTTAAACAAAATTTTCTCAGAAAAGCGTTTTACCCAAATTTTCTCCTAACTTTTTTAACTCTCATTCCTGTATCTTTGGTAAAAATGGTTGTACGTGAATGATTTTGTACTAATTGTTGGTTGGAAAATTTTTTTATCGCTAGATCCATAAACTAGACACTTCAAGCTTCAAATTGCTGTTTTTTTCATTCATGTACGACCATTTTTACCAAAGATACAGCCACTCAAAAAATTGCAAAAATCAAAATTTTTTCGATCCCTTAATTTTTTTCACTAGTGTATATAAAAACTGCAGTGATTAAAAAATAAGAGTATAAATAAAATATAATTGACTGGGTAGTATTCAATCTTCTTTACCTAAATTAATGGACAGCTTAATATTCACTGCAAGGAACTTTTGATCAATAACCATCGTGGCTTCTGTTAAAAAAATTTACAGTTACAAATCTATTGTTATATGAACAAAATATATTAAATGTTTTAGAAGTTAAAGGGCAAGTTGACTCTGTTTACACAGATTTTGCTAAAGCGTTTGACAGGGTTGAAATATTGTTAACAAAACTAGAATCATTTGGTATACCATCTCAGCAGGTGAAATGATTTAAAAGTTTTTTGACAGGTCGAAGTCAGCAATTTAAAAAAAATATTAATAGATTAAGATTAATTAGGGTTTCCTCAGGTGTGTCACAGGGCTCTCATTGTTCACCACTTTTAATGTATTTATTAAAGATATAATAGAATGCTTTAAATATTGTGAGTTCTTAATGTTCGCGGATGACCTAAAGTTGTATAGACCAATTTACTCATCTAAAGATCAAGCCTTCATTCAGAATGATCTCGACAATTTAGTTAAATGGTGCGACCATAATAACCTACAGTTGAATGTTAATAAATATTGCTTTATAAGCTTTTTTAAAGGGAATAAGAAGTGCAACTCACAATATTACATTAATGATAAGCCACTATCTCAGGTTAACTCAGTCAAAGATTTAGGAGTTATTTTAGATGAACAAATAAGATTTATTGAACATATAAATTCTCAATGCTTAGGGTTAATATTGCGTAACTATTTTGATTTCTCTCTAGAAGCCATAAAAAGAGATTATAAAACATTTGTTGCACCTCAGTTAGAGTATGCTTCTATAATTTGGTCGCCACAAAATTATATTCCTTGTCTAGCAGTGGAAAGAATACAAAATAAATTTCTAAGCTACTGTGGCTTCAAATTAAATATTTGGATAACTGATCATAATTATACTAAAATGAAATGAATATGAGCCGACTTAAATACAGAAGACTTATATCAGATATAAATTTTATCTATAGATAATTAAATGGTGTAGTCATATGTCTGGAACTCTTAGAAATGATTTCTAATATTCCTAAAGAATCTTTAGGCAATTAAATATGTTCATGAATCTTGAGGTTACAAGCATTTCTTTCAATCAATTTAAGGCAATCTGTATGAATACACTAAAGTGAAAATGAAATATTACAAACGGATTTACAATACTTAAAATGTATTTATTCATCTATAACTTATTTGACTTAATTTTAACTTTTTTTTCTCTCACTTGTATTTTTTAATTAAATTTATAATTTACAATTATCTGTATCATTTATATGTGTTTTGTTTTGTAATGGGGTTAATCCTGTTTAAATAAATTAATAAATAAACTGCAAATTTGTACATGAACATTACACTCGTTCAAAAAATAATTTTTATCTATCAAAAGTTAGTTCTAATGTAGATAAAGACTCCTTATACTATAAATGACTGAAATAATATAATGAGTTACCTAAATGTGTAAAAAACTGTGATAATCTAAAAAAAAAATGTAGAAAAGCCTGTATCGACTAGGCAAATTAAGAATTCTATTACATTGTAGGTTAAAACTTTTTGTTTTTTGTTGGTATATGTTTAAATATTCTATGTATTTTGTTCCTTACTAACATGCTAATAAAAATTATTATTAATTAAAACCATTATATAGTCAATTTAATAACTTGAAGCAAATATTCAGAAAACTTCTGAAAATATGTTTAACTGTGTTTTCTACTAAAACAAGGACATTGTACCAAATCATTATTAAATCAAGTATAATTATATGTTATATAGAGATTATGAGATTGAAAAAAGACTCACCATAAAAACAATGCTTCTTTGTTTTTATCCTGCTAATGGCTGGTCCATTTTACTCCAGATTTTACCCATTATTCGATCTACATCCCGACCCCGACATTTTCTTACACTCAGGAAATCTTCTGAGCCCGGCGACGTCATTTCATTCCAACATCAACAATCATTCTCATTCCCTATCTCCAATACAGCCCCTAGATACTCTACAATTTATTAACATACCAAAATCAATCACTTTAGTGCCTTATTACAAAAAAAAACAACAAGAATTTAAAGTTTGTATCAGTGATTGATTCAAGTAAGTTTAATAATTATATAAGATATCATCGGGCTGTATTGCAGTACAGCCTTGTCCATTTGATCCAAGAATTTTCATCAGAAATTAATTATTGTAGAACTAACACTCTTAGTATTACATACTAAAAGATGTAACCCCTCAATAAATGATTTCAAAGGACATAAATAGCTTGAATCAAACGTCTTTATTGTCAGAGAGAAAGGGAATGACCCCAAACAAAATCGTTGATGTAAA